GTGAGAACAATTAATCAGTGGAACAGCTTGCCTCCAGAAGCAGTAAATGCTCCAACACTGGAAGTTTTTAAGAAGAGACTGGACAGCCATTTGTCCGAAATGGTGTAGGGTTTCCTGCCCGAGCAGGGGGTTGGACTAGATGACCTCCAAGGTCCCTTCCAACTTTACTACTATTACTATTACTAATATCTCATTAATTAACAGAGCAGTCCACCAGCTATTATTCAAAAAGTTAAATAATACTAAGTGGAGATGATAGAACTAAAAATCCTTTATAGTCTTCCCTGAAATTAATGAGAATTATTGATCAATCAGTTTGAAATATCTAAATGAGGATTCGGTATTTATGAATTTCTGTATGTACAGCAAACTAGATATTGCTCAATCTATACTCTTGATTTACAGCAATCCTGTTTATACTATAATGTATTTTTAAAATAATGAATAGAAAGCAGGTTTATATGTTTCTAAATAAAGATAAATATTTACTCAATACAAAATTATATATATATATATATAAACCCGCTCAAGATATGGGAAACAAGCTGTGTGAAAAAACAGTGAAACTGCTTTAGCCTTGAATAAGGATGTTATAACTCAGTAGCTGAAGTACATTTCTGAGTACTCTATACCATTTTCATTTTCAAAATGGTCACACACGGGACACATTATGACCGTGTCTACAGTAGGTTCCATTGTCAATATTGGCAGTAGTTATTACAAGGGGGCCAATGTTGAGATTCATCATAAGTTAAACACCTCTGTTTCACATTCAAAGGTAGAATTAGTGTACAATAGAACACCACAGCAGATCTAAGAATCTTACAGTCTTACAACAAACAATAAAGACCGTAACCTGTTTTTTCCTTAGATATTTTTCTAAGAGGTGATAACAACATAGTTATAAGGCTGTCTTTTAATGCTGCATCTGTAATATATATATTACATATATATTACACACACACACACACACACATACACACAGAGAGAATGGGAGATATGTCTATCAGAAAAATGAAGATATATACCTATGACTAATCATAGATTTTATTTATCAAGTGCATGTAATGTGAAGCCATAGTAGCTGTGTTTATATACAAATCATACATAAATGAAATGATTAATTTCTAGGCATTTCTTTTTCCAAAGCTGTTACTTTAGTTGGAAAAACCATTTTGGCTGCTCACTTTAGCAGTCATATGGCACTCACAGTTTCTTTTGGAGAAAAGAAACACCTATAGGGGGCTCAGGAACTAACTTGAAGCAGGAACAAATGTTTATAGTTCTTGACTATTGGTGGCTTATGCCATTATGAAAGCTTAGAAGACAAACTGGTGAGACTTCTTTGGACTGTTCCTTCCACTGTATCAGCCCATGTGGCTTCCAGCAGCTTCTTGGTTGTTTATATTACTTCGTCAGGCATTTGGCTGCAGCATTACAAAAAATATTATTCTGGAGTTAAGCTTTTCATATACGATAAGTGCTATATAATTTCTGGCATTATAAGCTCCCCAAAGCTTATATCTGTATCCCAAATAACTGTTATCAGAGGTACTGTCTCAGTTGGAAATCAAGATAGTTCTAAATTGAGATACAATGTTAGGAACCTGTTTTTGTTCGCAAATGAACATATCAAATTCCAAGTAGTCACTGCTAATGCTTTAATATGGTTTTGGGAATTGTGTGCTATGAAAACCTAACAACTTTGAGAAGGCTGATGTTATAGAATTGCATTTTTTTTACATAAGGATTGGGTTTGCATGTGCCACTAAGCTGTGTTTTTGTGAATAAATCCCAGTTGGGCAACTCTGCATATGTCAAGCCATAAATCATATTTTACAAAACACAGTAACATGGTCCACACAATATGCTAACCTAAAAAACTGTATTTTGGCATAACCTGGTGCTTAAACTCAGAAAATAAACTATGTAAGTGAATCAGTTTTTGTCTAAATTTTATAGGAGAAGCCCTGAGACTCCATGGAATTCTACAAAAGGAACTATAGCCTAGTCTGCTCTACAAGGTGTCTACAACAACTCGCCACAGCCAACTCATTACAGCCAACTCGCCGCAGCCAATTCGCCATGGGACAACTTGCTATGGGACAAGAGTTACACTAATATTGAAGAATAGTAGAATAGAATCATTAAAGAAAGGATGCCAAAGGAGGGACAAAACGAAATGTGAATGGCAAAAATTAAATTAATTTTTTAACTGTTTTAAATAATTATGTTGAATTGTCCCATAGTGAGTTGTCCTAGAGCAAGTTGGCCATGGCAGATTGTCCTGTGGCGAGTTGACCATGGTGAGTTGTCCCATTCTGTCTGTAGATGGACAACACCGATCTTCCTCAAAAGGATCAAAAAACTTGGCTGTGTAGCCTTGTATGGGGGATATAGAGGCCCCAACAACCATGGAGCTGGCTGGTCCCATGAAACCTCCCCCCACCTGTATTAATAAGTGCTAATCCCCCATCTTGGAATTCTTCACCTTTTGAAATTTTTCTGTTTTATAATTTTAAAACTTTTAATCCTAAATTATTCTGATTTTAATGTTTAATTTTATTGATTATTATTGTACATCACCTATAATCCTTTTCCAAGGGAGATGGGCAGTTGAGAAACATGAAAAACAAACAAACAAATATGATATCCAAAAAAATCCATGTGGGGTCCATCCCTAGAGGTACATGTGCATAAAAACCTTAAGCCAATTTTCTGGATCTGGCCTCAACAAACATCTGGGATTAGCAGAAGCAGTGACCATATAGGATGCTGGTTCTATGCTCAGGGCTGAATCAGGCGTTCCATGTATTGCCAAACAGGCCTAGGAGCTACCCATGTATCAAAAATTAGGAGGAATCATATCACACGCTTGCAATTTCTTATAATGTTAAAAGTCTTCTTATGAATATTAGATCCTCTTGCCAGGAAGGAACACATCCGTGACATGGGATTCTGTGATATTGTGATGTCAAATGTATGGCATGCTAAATATGATCAAAACTCTTAGTTTCTTCCTTGTCTATGAATTGGGTTTGGGATGAACTGAAAAAGGGCAGAGATGATATGTTTTGAAGAGGGCAGTTTTGCTTGCAAGAATATCAGAGTATCCCTGTTGACAAAAACAGCATGCTTTTCCTGTTAAAATCACAAAATGTATCAGACTTTTCAAATGTATACATTTTTTTACACTTGTTGCTGTGTTTGTCAATATGACTGAATGCATACACATAGGGCAAAGCTGTTAGACTCCTGGACAGATGCCATGTCGATGCCATTCTCATTTGTTTACAGCTGAAAAAATATTTTTTTATAGACAGGAATTCTGTATAAAATTATTAATATTTTATATAAATTCACAATATTTTTGAAAGTAGAATGTTATCTTCATCTCTATTAGATGGGAAATAGCAGTAATTACAAAAATTGCACTGTTTATTCTCTCTTGGGAATGTTAATTTTTGGAATACAGTATATCACTTTCAGGATGAAAGAGAAAAAAGAAAAGGAACATATTCATTTGCTACAGTATTATCTAATTCTTTGCTTGGTGCACTTTAGGAGTTTTTTTCTGTACATAGTACATATGAGTGTAACTTTTTGTACCAACACTGCAGGTATCTCGTGATCCCTTTTTTTCTTTTTACATGTTCTGTCCCACAAAGTTGTTTGCTCCTGTAAACTATCATCAGTTTGATTTTTGAAACTCAGTTCCACAGAAAAGCTGTATTTCCAGCTAATAAAATATTTAAGTTGTGTTATGGAAGGTATTCAGATCCATCTAGTTGCCCCTACTCTACCCCGAATTAAGGGATTGCAGGGTCGTAAAAAGGGAGTTTACTAAAGGAAGTTAGTAGGTGCAAAAAAAAAGTGATTGCAGAAATTATTCATTCATACAATAAATGTAGAGAGCAATATTAGCAATGCATTCTCACTTGCATTTGGTCTTTCTACCTTACACTGACCAGCCTGTTTGCAAATGATTATAATTCTTTCATAATATAAAAAAAGAACCCCTATGAAATTTATTAGTAGAATTTGGTCAAGTTGTGATCTATTTGTATTTGCTGCGGTGCTAATTGGCATTAATTCATGTTCCATGTATTCTAAAGTTGCTCTTATTCCAACAACTATTGCTAATAATCTGGGCTTCTGTATTCCAGATTTACATAATCTATAATCATGCAACATAACTGCTTATCCTGATTCCTTAGGTAGTAAATCTAAAGTAATATCATAACTGTCTTTCATCTGCATTACCTCAGCCTACTCATAAGTAATATTTAAACATTTCATCTGTCCACAGGAAAAGATTCAAATAATCTATGAAAACTTTCTGTCTGTCTGTCTGTCTGTCTGTCTGTCTGTCTGTCTCTCTCTCTCTCTCTCTCTCCCTCTCCCCCCCCCTCTCTCTCTCACACACACAAACACAAAACATACACACAGAGACACACATACACAGGGAAAGAGAGAGAGCATAAAAATACAGCAGAAGTTCTAAATAGCAGCTGAACATACAAACTCTACGTACCGAGTAATTATGGTATTGTATGGACTTATGTAATACTCAATTAAAATTAGCAGTTTTGCAAGGATTTTGATTTACTATGTCCCTATGGTATATCAGATAGGTCAGCTGTATAATGTGGTTTCTGTGTTTCATCTGCTTGCCTCAGCTTCTAGTGATGCTCAAAGAGTGGAGAAATTGAATAATGAGTGAGTGAGTGAGTGACTGACTGACTGACTGAGGGAATGTCTGGCAGTCTTGAAAGTGGTCTCAGGAATGCATAAAAGAAATAAAAGTACCTTTAGGATGGTTGTACTTACAAAACAAATAAAATCCACTAATGAAAAAGAAAGCAAGAGAAGAAAAGGACAAGGGATGGAGAGAAACGAAAGAAATTCATGCAGTGTTTGTGCCTCCACAGCCTCTGTTTATTGGAGCCCATCAGGGTCACTCTGGACTGTGTCACATAAAAAATAGAAACTCTGCTGGAGAAACACAGAGTGAGACAAACTGACAGCCACAGACAGAGGGAATGACTGGGAAGCCAGGACACTTGGAGGGACCATGCTGGTGATTATTTACAAGAGAGATACAACACAGAGAGGTACAATCCTGCCCTTGCTTGGCACCTCTCTGATTCAGCCAGTCTCCTCATTCCAGGACTCGGGGGTGGCACTGGGGGCAGTGGTTCCTTCCCCGTTGCATGTTGCTGGATCTGCTGATGTCATTGTTGATGTTTCTGCTTTAGTTGCTGAAGCTGTGGATGTTTTTCCCTCTGGGTTTCCTTCTGCAGGGGCTGATATCATTGTGGCCATCAGGGCAGCTTCAGTTGTTGGAGCTGTGTTATCTGCTTCAGGTTTAGCCTGCATGGTGTTGTTGGGCTGTGTTGTAGCAGCACTATCTGTTGTGGCAGCAGTGGGAAGGGTTGGCTTGGCTGCATCTGTGTGATCTGGCGCTCGGAGTCTCTTCATCATTGTGGTCACTCGGACAGCTTTCTGTGGGTTGCCAAGAGAAAGATGGTTTTGAGATCTAATGTCTCCTTAATGTTTCATAACCCCAGCTCAGAATACACAATCGTACAGATCTCTTGACATTTTTAAAAAAGTAACCTTGATGTATTCACACTGGAAGTTCCACATTTTATTTTTAAATGTGCTTCAGAGTCCGTGACTGCAGATAAACACTTGAGAAAAGAATGGATCTATAATTGATCTTCATGGGTAAAAGCATCAGAAAGCAAATAACAAGGTACAGCTAATGTATCATGATTTGTACTTTATCTGATGATGATTAATCCAACTAGCAGTCTTTAGAAATTGCAATTTATGGCTGTCATTCAATTTAAGTTTTTAGATACTGTTTTTTAAACCATAAAGGAACGAGACAGGAAAATTAATATTAATAGAGGGATTAAAGACATTGATTTATTGAGGTTAATAAAAAATCAAACAATGCTTAGTGAGAAATAAATGTATATGGAACATGCAATTACTATAAAATACTTAAATGCATATTTGTAATATAAAAAGTATTAGTATCTTATCACTACCAGATTAATTAAAATGTTCTATCAATATATTCATGCCATTTAGATGAGAAGCAATTTATTTTAGAAAGTTTTGTACAATGACTATGATATCAGTAATTTCCAGGGGAAATTCTCTTCAGAAATTATTCCAGTGGTTAATGAATTGATATAAAATATGAATGATTTCTTTAAAAGAATAAAGGAAAGTAGACCCCAGAATTACATATGATTCCTGAAAACCTTGGATGTATTCCTCAGCAGGTTGTAATTTTTATTTTTAATTTTAATGTGATAACAGAGGAAAACAATTAAAATGTGGATAATAATCACGGGAGAAGGCAAAACTAAATGATTGCTGTATTTTACCAAGGAAACCACATGGGTAGACATGATAAAGGGCTTGTTGATGTAATGCTGATTAATGGGCCCTTCAGATAGGGTGGTACTCAACATACTATTGAAGAAGAACTGAGAATTTTCCAGAATACAGCTGGTATTTTATGATTCTTTTAGATTAACGTCTTCAGCTTATATGAATGGCTGAGGTTGCCATTAAAAAAAAAAACCCACAAAATCTGAAGCTGGAAAGTGGAAACATGAACCATAAGCATAAATTCTCAGGATTATCCAACATCAATTACATGGAAAGAGAGATGCTGGGTATTTGAGATAGCTTTAGAAAAATAATAAAGAAATGTTATTGCTGATGCCCACTCAATTGAGAAATTAAAAGCATATTTCTCAAAAATGAATATGTGCCTCGTTGTTTATAGCAGTGTTTCCCAAACTTGACAATTTTAAGGCACGTGGAATTCTGGGAGTTGAAGTCCTCATGCCTTAAAATTGTCAAGTTTGGGAAACACTGGTTTATAGAATAACAGAATAACAAGAGTTGGAAGGGACATTAGATGGGCGCAGAATTTTGGTGAGCCAGTTCCATTGGACACCTGGGAAACTATTTGGGTGAGAAATGTCAAATTTACACAAGCACAGAACTTAAGGGAGAATTTTTATAAAATGTTTTATAGATGGCACCTTGATCCACAAAAAATGTCTTTTATGTACCCTGACTTACAACCTAAATGTTGGAGATGTGGTTGTATGGACGCTACTTATTATCATATTTGGTGGTCGTGCAGAGAGATAAAAGCATTCTGGATTAAGATATGGTGGAATATCCAGAGAATTTTTAAAAGGAGGGTAAAATTTACTCCACAATTATTTTTGTTAGGTATAGTTATTGATTGTGATACAAAGGAGGTTATATTGATGTTAAATTTGATTACAGCTGCGAGGCTGTTAGTAGGACAATATTGGAAGAAGGAATCTTTGCCTACATTGCAGGAATGGTTTCTTAAAGTGTCTCATTTGGCGGAAATGGCAAAGATTTCGGCTTTCTTAAAGGGTCAAACGCAAGAGAAATTTCTTGCTGTTTGGGATAAATGGATAAAATTCATACAATTTAAATTTGATATAAAAATACTATATAGTTTTTTCATAATTTTTAACTTTATATATATATATATTTTCTATTTTATATTCTTTTTTTTATAAATATAATTTTTTTTAACTTTTTTTAATTAAGCCTATATTCTGCTCTGGGAGGCCCTGGGGGGGGGAAGGGGGGGTTTGGGTAGGGGTGGGGGAAGGGGGGTTTTGTTGGGTAATGTTTGTTTTTATTTGTATATGTTGTTTTTTGTTTTTGTATTGTCTTTTATTTTCTGTAAAATTTATAAAACTCTTTAATAAAAAAAAGAGTTGGAAGGGACCTTAGAAGTCTCTAGAAAGGCCACTGATGGTGTAAACTATGTAATGCTGTGGAAAATCCTTAGGAAAATGGGAACTCTAGAACATCTATTATCACAGTATCACAGGAAGCCATATTCCTGATAAAACAAAGCAAACTAGATGGGCTCTGGATTGGTAAAGAAAATGTTAAATACTGTATGGTTTTTAAAACTGGAGGAAGAAACATCAATATTTTGTGTTATGTTGAAGATACTATGGCAATAGCCTAACATACAAATGATTTGCAAGCTCTAATGAAAGTCAAGGAGCACAGTGAAAAAAATGAGGTTAAGAATAAACATAAAAAAGACTAGATTAATGACTGCAGATAAAGCAACCATCCTTAGAATGACAATGAAGCAACTGAAATAGTGGATAACTTCTCCTTTTTAGGGTTAAATAAATAAGCAAGAAATATATCACAGATTAGAACTTGGTAGGGTAATAACGAAGAAATATTCAGATGCCATGGCATGCCTATATGGAATAAAGCAGGCAATGTTTTTTCCTGTAATATTCTAATAGTGTTAGAAAGAGTATTGATGCTTTTGAACTTTGATGTTGGAGAAGACTCCTGAGAATACCATTAGTTAATTAACTAATTAGTTAATAATGAAGTAATAATTAGTTCAAGCCACTTAGCAAGCTTTGTAGCTGACTGGGTTTCCAAGATTCCAGCATTCTTGAACCTAATAGATTGGAACCATAACATCCAGATTTTCCAGACACAGTATTCTCTAACCTTCTCTTTCTGCAGCAGGCTGTGGAAAAAGTTGTAGAGCTGCACTTGCAAAATATCCTAGGTGTAGATCCTTTTCAGCAGGGTTCAAACCAGTGGTGGCATTCAGCCAGTTCACACCAGTTCGGTAGAACTGGTAGCTAAATTTTTGTTGCCCAGGCCCAGAACAGGCTTCAGGAAGCAGCATCCACACGGAGAACCGGTTGTTCACATATTTGAATCCCACCATTGGTTCAAACCTGGTATTTCTTAATAGTTTCCGATCAGATCATAAGGAGGGTTGACCCTGCTTACTTTTTCAAGTTCATCCAAAGTCAGTTAGGCATTGCCAGCTAATCAAGCAAGTATAGTTTTCCATTAAACATTATCACACTACAGATAGTCCTCAACTTATGATCACAATTGAGCCCAAAATTTATTTTGCTAAGCAAAACATTTGTTAAGTGAGCTTTGCTCCATTTTACAATCTTTCTTGCCACAATTATTAAATGAACCAATGTATTTGTTAATTTACTATAGTAACATGGTTGTTAACTGAATATGGCTTCCCCATTGACTTTGCTTATTCAAAGGTTGCAAAAGGGGATCACATGACATCACCGGACATTGCAGGCATCATAAATATGAACCAATTGCCAAATATCTGAATTTTGATCACACGATTGTAGGGAAGCTGCAATGGTTGTAAGTGTGAAAAACATAAGGTTTTTTTTTCAGCACTGCTGTAACTTCAAACAGTCACTAAATGAACTGTTGTAAGTCGAGGATGACCTGTATTGTTCGGCTATTATAAGTATTGTGAGAAACGGACAAACTTATTTTGATTTCTGATTTATCTGTGGCGAACTCTAATTCTTTCATCTAGATTTAGCCCTCTGAAAGAAAACCAACACAAGGATTTTTATAGAGACTGAAAGAAAAGGTTCTGGATGCATTTCCTCAAATTCAGAGTGAAACTGTCATAAGCCTTGCAAGAGACGGCCTTTTCTAGCAATACATTACCTTCCATTTTGCTCTGGCAAAGTTCTTTTCAATCTGAGCACATACGCCATCTTTTATATTCTTGTCTGAAGCTGCATTGCCAGAAATCCTAGGGACGAAAGAAAAAAAAAATCAGCCAGTTATATCACTTCATCATAGCCCTTCTTAGTCTAAATGTCTTGCTTTGCTTACTGGCCTAGATTGTAGCTCCCCAATGGGAAGGCTAGAGGCAGCAATTATCCTGCTCTCAGTACAAAACAATTCACATTGTAAATGTTACGAAATCCGAACATCTTGAGCTGTTCCTTTTGAACATGGAGAAGTGGCACTTTATAATGTCCCTGTTCATCTTTCTTGGCATTGTGTATCTTCTGTATTAGAGCTCTTTTTTCCTTATGGAGCAACTATAGGGTTCTCACCATTCATGAGAGATAGCTTCTTCTGCTGTAATTCTCTGGTCTTGATCCACCTCCATCAGACGGGCTACTAGGTCTTTAGCTAAAGAAAAAAAGGAGGAAAATGACTTTTCAATGGCATCAGTCGAAGTAAAGATTTTGCAATACAGAAATTCTGAAAGGATTACCAGTTCATAAAAAAATAATGTGTGTCTTTCAGCACAAAAGAGATACTACACAGCTAATTTAGTAGGACTGACTTCTCTTGTATATAAAAACAGCCTTGAGGGTCACAATCTTTTTGTTAAAAATTGCCAGAAAGTTAGTGACTTGGGAGTATTGGAAATTATAATCCAGAAGGTGCAATCTCAGCTCAGCCTTGTATTTGCCCTTAACATTTTGGGTTACAACGTGCAACCTATTTTTCTTGCCTCCACCATTTTCACAGCCTTACCTGCCTGTGAGATATCATCCCAATAAGGAGGATCAAATTCATAGTCTCCAGCCAAGATCTTGCGAAATAGGTTCTTGTCATGGTTCTCATAGTCATCCTCATCCATTTCCTCATAGAAAGGTGGGTTTCCCGACAAGCTACAGCACAGAAATAGGAGTGCAGATTAGAATACCTCTGAATATTCCTTTTCCAATTCCCAGCCAGCATGGTCAATGCAGCTGCTGGTTGGTAATTCTAAAAACTGCAATTCCAACACATTCCAATACAACTCACTGGCAGACTTATATAATCCTTTCATAGGAACTTTCTACTGCTTTTTCTGCAGCCATATTTTTCCCCTGATGTTCATTCTGTTTTATGTTTGCACCTCCCTCCTTTCTCTCCCAGTCATCAATATGATCCCTCTTTACTTACAGAATATACATGATCACACCAATAGCCCAGCAGTCCACAGGCCGCCCATATCGTTGGCGCCCCACCACTTCAGGTGCTGAAAGGACAATTGTAGAAGATCAGGACTATCCACAGGGCAGGCATATGTTTCTCTGAACACATTACACATTACAATGACAATATCAGTAGACAACATTTCAGGAAATTTATCTTGGCAGAGCTAAATACAGAATGCTGCTAAATCTAACATAATTCTATTTCAAAATGTTATTGTGAGGAATTATAGAATGAATGTATCGCTGCTTCAGATAGGAAGGCGGTGCAGAGAGTGGTGAGAATGGCCAAAAAGATCATTGGCAGTTCCCTCCCTCCCATCCAGCACAGAAGCGCTGCTTGAGCAGGGTCCGCAAGATTATCTGGGACACTACACATCCTCTTCACGACCTGCTTTCCTTGTTACCTTCTGGGAGGAGGCTTCGTGGTATCCGAAGCAGAACATCCAGATTCAGCCATAGTTTCATTCCATACAGCATTAACCTTGCAAACTCTCAAGCTTCCTCCTTCCGTTATATATTCAAGATGGACAATATTTAATATTTATTTGCTACGTATATGTAGGGATGTGGGTCTATACATATGTTGTTCATAGTATGTTTAGGTGTGTGTCATGTATGTGTTTCACTTTGAGAGCGGGCAACTAAATTTCATTTTTGATATGTGCTGTTGTGCCCGCAGTATAAAAATGACAATAAAAGTTCTCTTCTCTTCTCTTCTCTTCTCTTCTCTTCTTTTCTCTTCTCTTCTCATCTCATCTCATCTCATCTCATCTCATCTTAAAATCTTCCTTAGTGGTATCTTACGTTTCCATATATAATTATTATGTGGGACAGAGATGGAATTCTGATATAGAGGTAAAATTATGTCCTTAAGCAGTTAATTATTTCAGAAACATTTAAAATCCATGTTAGGAGTCATTTGCACTCAAATCCTCTCTCCCTTTTTTACAGCTTACAAATTGCACATTTAGAGTGTATATAATTGAACCATAACATCAGGGGTGGGATTCAGCCAGTTCGCACCACTTCGGCAGAACTGGGAGCTAATTTTTTTGTTGCCCAGGCCCAGAATGGACTTCTGGAAGCAGCTTCCACACAGAGAACCAGTTGTTCACATATTTGAATCCCACCACTGCATAACATATACGCAAATCTCTGTGCAGAATGGTTTGGAATATTTGAAAGTTGCTCCCTATGTTGAAAAATATCATTTGCACTGAATCAACCATATTTAGAGCAGTATCTTTGTGTCATAGGCTCCATTCCCACTGAAAGAATCTGTAGGGACCACAGTGCTTGTCACTGGTATGCAACAATATCAAAGATTAGTGTTTTTCCTCTCCGCACAAAATATCTGTGGCAAAAATGGGGAACTTGTGACCAAGCAGCAAGGCAGAAGTTAATACATATATGTAAATTTCTATAGACTAATAACAGGGAAGGAGTTTTATGCTTATGAGTTTTTATAGGCATCTGATTGAAATAAGTCTATTACTAGATATTGGAATGTTATTTTCGGTTCCTATAGTTTATTCATTATAATGTTGCCCTAATTGCTGTGCCGTTTCTTACCTAGATATTCAGGAGTTCCACAAGGTTCTTTGATGAGTCCATTCTCTAGCTTGGCTAGGTGAAAGTCACTGATCACAATCTTAGAGTTCTTCAAGCGGTTGTAATATACTAAATTTTCTAGCTGCAGAAACGGTTGAAAAGAGAATGAATATATGGATGAAAGAATGAAGTAAAGAGGATAAAACTGCTGAACGGGAGCATTATTCCCTTCTAGACATATGTGTTAGTTTACATGTATGCTTATACGTCTACACAATCACTTCAAGCTTCTGGCAAAAGTAAAAGGCATAATATTTGAAATGGATGTTTCTATCCATCCCTTCAACTATGTATATATAGCATCATATATAGGATGTCCTTCTAAAGTCTGGGGGGGGGGGAAGGAGCAAAAGAAGCCATTGTAATTGCTGAAATCAATTTATAAATGGAAGGAAGAGTACATGAGCCATGAATATACCACCACCAAGAGATACAGGCTAGAGCAGTGATGGCGAACCTTTTAGAGACTGAGTGCCCAAACTGCAACCCAAAACCCACTTATGTATCGTTGGGTGCCGGGTGGGCGTGGCCCATTGGGTGGGCGTGGGTGCAGTGGTAACGGCAGACTGGTGGGACTAAAAAGTTCAATCAATCAATTCCAACTTTGCGAGATCTTTTTTTCTCGCAAGAAGTTGGAATTGATTGATTGAACCTTTATTTTTTTTTTGCACACGGTGGCAGAGGCCTAAAACCCAGCTGAAGGCCTAGGATTGGGGCGATGGTGTGCGTGGCCTCAGAGAGGGCTCTGTGTGCCATCTGTGGCACCCGTGCCATAGGTTCGCCACCACGGGGCTAGAGGATGATGATCCGACTTGCCTTGAGATTCCTATGTACGATCTTCAGTGAATGCAGGTATGCTACAGCCTCCAAGACCTGCCTGATGACATTACTGGTGTCACGCTCAGAGTAATACCCTTGGTCCAAGATCCAATCAAATACCTCTCGACCGGTGGCCCTATAAATGAGAGAATGGACAAAAACAAGAGGGAAATTGGATTACCAAGATACTAGTTAATGCAAACAAGTATTACAAATTAAGCTTACAATAAAGAGTGAAACAAAACAGCGGTCCTTTGTCTGAATCCATCTGATTTGGTACATGTTAATTGTCATCACAATAGAATCTTTCCCAGCATTATTTACTGTAAAGATGCCAGGGATTGAACCAGAGAAAACCAAAATAGCACTACTGAGTTATGGATTTTTCCTGCAGTAAAAAGAAATTATAATATAACGAGAAGGAAGGTCCTTCCTTCCCCTTCTAGATGGTGTCATGAACATTTAAGGTGTTTCTGATAAGTGTCCAAGAAACCATGCTGTATTTTGGGATGGGGGGGGGGGGAAGAGCAAGTCTTAGCATCATAATCCTAAGGCCCTGACAGCATGAGAAGAGAACCCAATAGATCATTTTAGGAGTTTAGATCCATGCAACACCTACTTACAGCTCCAAGAAGAGGAAATACTCCTTCCGGGTAACATATACATCCACCAGTTGTAGAATGTTGGGATGCTTTACCCTGCAGGAAAAGAGAAAAGCTACTTTGAGGGTCTACTGTCAGGCAGAAACGTAAAGCCAAAGTCAGATATCTGCTGAGTCTTCTGAAGAAACCTGTCAAGTCACCTTGTATTCATTTACTGCATTTTAATTAGGATGTTATCTCTCACCTAAATCTGTTTTGGCATAGCTGAAGCCATACAACTTGTTCCATTATTAATGGATACAATGAATACTGTAGAATTCTGTTGCTTTTATCATATGCAAAATGAATGGGCCTTGCATTGTGATGTTGCAATGCTACTTTCATCAGCCTGACATTCCCCCCTTTCCCTCTGATCCCTGCAGAAACTGTTTCCCCTTTCTGAAAAGTATATTTTATATTTAATCCTTTCCGGAGCATGTCAGTTCCTTTAATTCTGCTTTATAGTATTAGCTTTCAAGCATTTTTCTCATCTGTGCATTTGTTTTTGGAATTCTCAGTTTATCAACATCTATTCTGAATTGTTACATTGTGTGAACTAGTATTTCTCTTATGCTAAGGTGAATGTGTTTCTTCATGGGGATGTTTAGAATGGGGATGAATAGCAAGGCCAAGGGTTCTGATCAGTGGTGAACATGCCTTATGCACCCAAAATCAGGATGCCACCATCTGGGGGGAAGCAGGAGAGAGGCAGGATATGAATTGACAGTATAGGACAGTATATATATTCTGCTGATGCGGTTTTGGCTGGCTCAGGGACAGGTGGCTGGCACTTTAACTGAACCTTGAAGATAGATACAATCATTGTTCCTGAATAACTATTAGAGTTAACTGTAGCTGCATTCCATTTGGGCAAAGAATTAAATTGAACATTTGTGGCTTCAAGGACTAAGCAAGCGTAGCAATAAAGTAGCTAGGGAAGCATAGATTCTGGGATCTATTGGAATCAACCTTCTCCACTCACATCTTCAGGATGATGATCTCATTCTTGGCTGCCTTTCGCACTTTGCGCCCATCTCTTTTCAGAAACTTCTTGCAAGTATAAAGCTTGCCTGTCGATTTCTCTTTGGCACGGAATATCTCACAAAACTCCTCTCTAGGAAAAGAACATCCATCTTTAAATTACATCCATTCGCTGAAGCAACACAATTGTGCAGCAGAGACGGTAAATAGCTTAACTTTATGAATCATCCACTTCCCCAAAAGAGACGGAGGATACAAAACTATTATTAAGTACATATCGACTGAGGATTGACCACAAGGGGAGTACTGTGGAAGGATAGGAAAAGCAGAGGAAAAAAAATACTTGTCCGTTATATGTATTACACATATACAACATTATAAATGTGTTTGCTAAAGTACTTATTATTTGCAAATTTCGGGTGACCTTTAAATTTAGCCCTGTCTCCCATGATTCTGTATTTGCATTTACATGTATTTTAATTTCGCCAATTGTGTCACTTCTTGACAACAAGATATAAAACAAAAGATGAGGGGGGAATGGAATTCAGGGGAAGGGGAAGAGCGCCACCCCTATGTTCTAACCTAAATAGATTTACTAACTTAAGAGAGGGTTAGATTTAGCCCTCAGAGGGTCCTGTCCTGTTTCAGACTAAACTAAATCCCCTCACTCAACTAACACTCTGTTAAATAAGCTAGTAATCAGGGAGTTAGTTAACTCTCTTCACTCCTGAGATGAGACTCATAAGAGATCACCCCCTCAAAGCATCTCTACCTCCTCTGTAGCTTTCATACTGCTTTCCAGCCACACAGAACATGTGTGACAAATTGCAGAAAGGAGTAGGTAAAACCATCCTCTGAGTTCATTCACGGTGGTGCCTACTCCAGTTGCATTTCTGTGTTTTTTAAAATCTTGCTCCAAGGGGGAAAAAAATGAAACAAGATAGGTAAAACATACAAAGATTACCTTTATTACCTTTAAAGCCCTATATGGCTCAGGGCCAGGCTATTTGTGAGACCGCCTTCGTCCAGTTAGATCCCATAGGCTGGGCCTCCTTCAGGTCCTGTCAGCCAAGCAGTGCCATTTGGCGGGGCCGCGGAGGAGGGCTTTCTCTGTGATGGCGCCCACGTCTTGGAATCAGCTCCCCCCAGAGATTAGGACTGCTCCCACCCTGTTGGTTTTCCATAAGCTGCTTAAGACCTGGCTTTTCCGGCAGGCCTGGGGTTTATAAAATCTGACCCCTGTTCTTGTACTGTTTGTTTTGTTATGTTTTATGTGTTTTTATTGTTAGCCGCCCAGAGTCCTCTGAGAGTGGGGCAGCTTATAAATTTTATAAATAAATAAATAAATAAATAAGGAACGATTTAGGGAATTATTTCCAACCCTTTTACCAGCAGTGACTATAGGAAATATTTGCATTTTCTTCTGTGTAATCAAGTAACCCATCCCTCCCTCCCTCTCTCTCTCTCTCTTGTGTGTGCGCGCGTGTGCATGTCTGCCTGCCTGCCTGCCTGTCTTTCTCTTAGAAACTATGTACTATACAGTATATAGCTTGTGTGAATGAGGCTGGCAGCATAATCTCTGCTCTAGGTCACATTACCAGGAAGATGAGAGAGAAGTGCTTAGAATGGAATAGCTAAAAACATTACGAGCTGCTGCCCAACTACTTGTCCATAAGGATGTATTGGATGGATTTTTTTTAAAAATAATTTTCTTCACAGCTGCTCATTGCAGGCCATTTTTAAACTTTTTTTTGCTAGTTTTTCCCAACACATCTTGTCCTGTTTTTGAATTTTGGAGAGGTATCCCACTGACAGACAGATGAATAAGCAAAAATCCTGAACCTCTTATTAACATTACATTGGGTTGTAAAAAAAAGAAAAAGGCTGTAAGTGGGGGGGGGGGGAAGACCCAGGTTCCCAGGTCCTTTGCATGGTTGGGAAGATTAAAGCATACTTGTGCATGACAGACCCAGCCAAACACACAGCCTCCTACTTAGCATGAGGGCACCCCACTAATTGTTTCCTGAGTGTGTATCTGCATGTGTCTCACCGTATCTTCTCCAGCATCTGAGGTAGGCTGAGGAAAGCTTAATGTGCTGCAATCTAGAAATGGTGTTTTCCCTACTATCCTCCTTTAAAGTGCTGCATGTTGTCCATAAAGGGCATTTTGATGTGCATGGAGAGGTAGCCCCAAAGTCATTTCGATTCCAGCAGTCTTGGGACTCAAGTTGGTTCTGCCATTCTTCTGAAGGAATGTCCCATTCAGTCTAGTGCCTGGCTTCTTTGCTGCCCTTTATTCTTCTTTTGGCTGTGACAAGGACTGGATCTCTGGTGCCCACAACCCTCTTTTTACCCAGTAAGATTTAGGGTGACATGATTTCCTGCTAGCTTTCAGTTAGGGGAGAAGTACAGAGAACAATTATGTGGCAAAGGTACTGGCATTCTCTGTGGTTCGTTGCCTGTACATAGGTGAGTCTACTGACAGGGAAGGGATGTTTGAGTCGTCTGAAATGTGTGACCACAGCTTTCTTTTTGGCACAGAAGAGAGATTGTGACTCTGTCCATCTGTTTTCTAAATTGTCATTTGGATCCCTGGTGGTTAAATATAAGTATAAAACCTGATAACCATTATATTATTTTCTTATTCCTGAAATATAATAGTAGTGCTTGCTAGTCTAAACTTTATCCAACGTCACTAACATTGCATTATCAACCAATTTCTCCATCGTTCTTTAAGAACATTGCGGAGAGTAGCAGCACACCATTCCGGGAAATTTATGAAAACTGCATAGAATAGTAGAACACTTACGTTTTGATTACCTGTCCCAGGTCATATCTGTCAGTCACCTCAGATGGCTGGTTATAATCCTTCTTATCTCCCAAGGTAACACATCCAAACGGCATTGCCAAGCCTGATACTGAAAAATAAGTGCATGGAAGACTCTGAGTCATCATTCATGAATACAGATAATTTGAAGCACTTCAGGATCTTGACTGGGCAACTAGGGAGAGCCACTCACCACTGCATCACTGAGCAAGCTGAATGTGAGCAGGTGCAGTTAGACAGTCACATATGCTCAGATGTGGTTTGCAGTGACAGGCTGGGAAGCATTTGTCCATGAAAAGATTGACCCACTGTCCAAGCTCCAGTGAAAGAGATTTAATGTTGAAGATGATTCAAAACTGAATGAAAACAAAAACCTGCCATACTGTAATGTCTTTATAAAAGTTAGGGAGGCAGCCCCATTTAGAATGATAATTATAAATCTCAGATCACAAATGGTATTGCTGGAAAACGTACATGCTGTCAACATTATCAAAAAGGAGATCCTCAATAAGACAACATTACAGAGATTTTTTTTTTTTTAGTTTAGCTGGCATGCATAGCCTGCTAAACTAAATTTTGAGAATATGTTGGCTTTTTTCACCATTCTCCAGATAGCTATGTCAGAGAGTATAAACCATCACAAAAAAGTGGTTGCTGAACTACAGCTCCTTGCTGTCCATCATCAGTGTTGTCCATCCTGGCTGAGATTGTTGGGGAACTGAAGTTTAGTAACATGAGATGGAGTGTAATTTAATTTAGTTTAATAATTAAGCAATATTGTGAACATCTTATCTACCTATGGGGTCTGATAGGGAACAACAGGCTTCAGCTGTCTGAGAAGACTGAGTGGCTTTGGGTTTTGGAGCCAACTGTTTTTTTATGGGGCTGTGCTGCCCCAGCAGACCAGGTGCATAATCTGAGGGTCGTCCTAGACTCTCGACTCCTGCTCAAAGAGCAGGTGGCAGCCATGGCTAGGAGGGTCTTTGCTCAGTTTTGTGTTGTGTGCCAGTTGCACCCATTTCTTGATCAGCAGGCTCTGCTCACAATCATTCTTGCCTCAGTCACCTCCAGATTGGATTACTGTAATGTGCTCAACATGGGGTTGCATTCGAAGAGTATCTGGAAACTTCAGCTAGAGCAAAATGCAACAGTATAGGCAATTATGTGTACTTCTAGAATAGAGTATGTTACACTTCTGCTCCCTGAGCTGCAAGTTTGCATCTAGATAAAATTCAAGATGCTGGGTTTAATCTTTAAAGCCCTTCATGGCACGAGATTATCTGAGGGACCACCTTTCCCTGATCAGCCTGCTCTATCAGATCGGGTAGAGAGGATTCCCTCTGCCAGGAACTTATATTTAATGGATCCCAGGAAGTGGGCCTTCTCTGCCATGGCACCTGCCTTATGAAGCATCCTCTGCCCTGGCACTCCCCAACATTAGGTTAGTTTCATCCCTCCTGATGTTCCGGAAGTCTCTTAAGTCCTGGCTATGTTCCAAGGCTTAAGGGTCTCAGGGAAGTGGAGCTATGTGTAGATGGCTTTACTCCTGAGGTGGATATACTCATTCTTTTTCTGTTGGGGTTTCTATATTTTATTTTTATAATATTTAACTTTTAATACTGAGTTTTCATTTTTGTAATGATTGTTTATATATACTGTACATTGTTTTATATCCAAGCTGCCCAGAGTCACTGGGCAGCCATAAAGATTAGTCCAGGGGTAGGCAACCTTGGCTCTTTTATGACTGGGAGTTGAACTCTATGAGTCATAAAAGAGCCAAGGTTGCCTACCCCTGGATTAGACAGACGGATGGACGGATAGATTCTTCCGGTGAGCAAACCTATAACATGCACTGTCTGCACCTGGGAGAATTGATGAGATGAATTAAACTCAAAATATCTGGCATGAATAATATTTATTTTTTAAACTATATTTAATTTTTTAAAATCTGATTTTCTATAAAAAAATTCAGAACAACATTTTTGATCAATATACTACAGGCACTTTTTCAGTTCTCTTTTTTTGCATGTATAATTTTTGTTGAACATTTAAACAAGAAGGTAAAAACTGACAATAGAAAGGTAATAGAAAGCGAAGAAGAAAAAAGAAATCAAAGAAAAAGCAGAAGAAACAAGAAGATGAAAACAAGTGAAAGAAACAGCAGAGAAAAAGGTATAAAGAAGTGGCTTCTGATATTTTTACAGCAGTTCTAAGTACAAATACTGTATATTTTAACCTCTCTCTCTCTCTCTCTCTCTCTCTCTCTCTCTCTCTCTCTCTCTCAAGTTACATCATATTCTTCTTCTTTCTGTAAGCTATCCTGTCTAATAATCAAAACCATAAATCACTTTTTCGTTTTTACTCAAAAAGCCCATAAGAGGCTTGAAATCAGCAATAAATGTTAATAAGCTCCTTGTGACTGCGTTGACTAGTCCCTTCAGCTTTATTGCCGAATGTTTCTGAAAGGTTTCCCCTTGCCTCCTTCCTAGGCCTGGGAGAGAGAAAGTAACTAGCCCCCCAAAAATCACACAACAGATTTTATGCCTAAAACGGGACTAGACCTCATGCATTAGTCTTCTGGTTTCTAGCATGGTGCTTTAACCACTACGCCAAATTGGCTCTTCAATGAACATTATTAATAATAATTTAGGTACATTTCTGTATGCAAAAGTCACTGTTTGTTCGGGGAAGTGGTGTTCTTCAACTTCTCATAGTAAAACAGTGTTTTGAGAAGACTAAAATTAAATCCAAAGCATGAGAATTCCCATAGACCCTAGTTTGCAAGATTGTCCAATAAACTTAGCAAAAGTTTGCATGCAAGGATTTGGGTGACAGGATTGGTAATTATCTTCCCTCCCATTGATAAGCATACAGAGGAGATCAGGGTTAAGATCTGAAGTCTAGTACCATTGAATTCAGTGCACCAAATTAATCATGACTACAGGTTCAGGCTTTCAGTGGGCAATGAGTGAATTATAGCACAGCCTATAAGTAACACTTCAAAAGCCCCATTAAGTTCATGGAGGTTGAACTGAAATTTAAGATTGCATCCAACAGTAGACACTCAAAATATATATGCAGAATATCTCATAATTTACACATAACATGCACATTTTTTTTCTTTTTTTCCTACTTAGAGCTGACACGAATAGAACTATTTCCAAGTACAGTAGGCATTATTCCTTTTGCACAAAATAACACCTTGGGCAGGCAGTGAGGAGGTCACAATTAAACTCTTTTTGTTATATAGAAGGCCACTTCTTACTATGCCTCTAGGAATTTTGGAAAGCTAATTTGAGAGGGGAAAATTGTATTCAGGTGACATATTTTAGGACCTAGGTCAAGACTGGGATTACTCATCAGGCAGCTGCTTTCTCAGGTGTCACACAGCAATGACAGGTGTATCATTAGCACTTTTTTTTAACATGCATAATTGATCACAAGCACATCACACTACAATGTTATGAACAGAAATATTAGGGATTGCATTCCTATCAATTAAAATTGGGGCTTGACAAATTTAGTTTTCCTGCTTTAAAAAAGTTTTAAAACTAATCAGAATCTTATGTCCCTTTTTAGAAAATTGCAGCTAGCCCTTTTGACGGGAGAAAGAAAACCAACACAGCCAGGCAAGGCAAAGCAAGCTGAAAAATCTCACGACTAAGAATATTATAATCAGGCTTGTGACTTTTCCCATAATTGGCCTGAAATGCCATCGGGAATGTGTTGCAGGCGTCCTAGCTCAGTGGCAATTCCCCGAACAGTCACAAAAATAACATCTCATAAAGTAGAGGTGATCAAAGTTCTGCCCTATTACTTTGCCACATTATCTTGGAGTGCATCTTATCCTTCTGCCCTATTAACTATAAAGTAAGATGATCTAAAATGAGGGGGGGGGATAGAATTTGCAGCCTGGGGCCACATTAAGCCAATTAATGAGTAGTCCTAACCTCGACTGACATGTATGCTGCCTGGAGCAGGAAGAGTCTTGTACATATTTTTTTCTAAAACTCTTCCCTGATGGGTAGTAATTGTTTCCATGTAAAAAAACAGGTCAGCTTTTTTTTTAAAGATATATTGCTATAAGGTAACCCAGTATTGTTAGATCTGCTTTGGGGGCAGGATGGTTTGTTACACATGTTACAGTGCTCTAGTATAAATCGTTCATTTAGTGACCATTCAAAATTACAATAGCACTTAAAAAAGTGATTAGTGACCGGTTTTCACATGATTGTTGAAGCATCCCAGTGGTCACCTGATTAAAATTCAGGTATTTGACAACTGGCATGTATTTGTGATACAGTTGCACTGTCTCAGAGTCATGTTATTACCATTTGCAACTTTCCCAGGTGGCTTCTAACAAGCAAAGTCCATGGCCGAAGCCAAATTTAACAACTGCACGATTCACTTAACAACTGCAGTGATTTGCTTAACAACTGTGGCAAAAATGTTGGAAAATGGAGCACAACTCACTTGCCTAGCAACAGAAATTTGGGATGCCATTGTGGCTGAGGAATACCTGTATATCTATATTTTCTTTTAGAGAAATATAGTGGACAGTACAGATTGGATTGTACCAGTGCTATTTGTTGAGTTCTTGAAAAGTTTCTGGTGTATGTACAAAGAGTGTGTAATAAAGTTGCCAGTTTTTCTTTTTCTTCCCTTTTGTGTGGGGTTCTCCTCCTCTCTTAGAACAGGACTTAGTATTGTGATAAGTTGGCATGTAGCTGTTTTACAACGAATGGCATCTTGGGAATTAGTAGCATTATATCCCTTGTTTGCAAAATCTGTAGTTCATTCTAAAACCAACCAACCAACCAAAAGAATAAAATAAAGAAAAAGCTAAATTCAAATGATTTATCAGATAAAAACCTCAAGATGATTTCGGATCCAAGCAAGGCCAAAACTGGGCTTTTAAAAAGATGCTTAAAGTAAATTGTTGGGGCTTGGCATACTATAAAGAAGAAGTCTTTCCCAACTCAAAGTTGTTCCTCAGAGAAAGCCAGCTTCTGGATCTTTCACAGAAGGAGATCAGCAAGCTGTGACATAGAAGGCTGGGCCTCCTGTTAAGTTCTTATGGTCTGGGAAGTG